AGTGACCAATTTTATTTGCCAGCAAACTATATTATGTGGCAGTCAGCAGTCAGCTGGCAGGAAGCGAGCTGGCAGTCAGTTTACTGTTCCAATGACCTTTCGACATGAGCCAGTCAGGCGAGTGGAGGCAGCCAGCCAGAAAGGAACGGAAAGTGGCACAGCAGAAAAAACAATGCTTAAAGTGAGGATTATATGAAGCCTAAAGGATACCCTGTTAAGCTTATAGAGGATTATAATTATTTCTTATGTCGACATCTAATTAAAGAATTGTTTAGATATTACGTTTAAACCTTTAATCAGGCGATACCTTTTAAATACCATTTAAACTAACATATATGATGATCCTAGGATAAAAGTTCATGATTTTCAATGAATAACTTCATCTCACATTTTCGTAGGCCTCAACATATTTATATCTATTTTATTTACAATGTTAATATTTATTTATATTTTTATAATTACCTTCGGTATGGGTTGGTAGTTTTTATTATTACAAATAAATCCATTTCACAAGGTGCTCCCACGCAAAGCACAGTTCCAGAAGACCCACATCCTTGAGCCGCAAGGCAGCTCGACAACATAAACGGCGACCTTTGACTGCCACCAGACTTTAAGTGGGCTTGCTGGGGGGAAGGGGGGAGGTGGCTCCAGTGGGTGGCCCAGGCGATGGGTGGGGCCTTTGCTCTATTCATTTGGCCCGGCGACTGGGCGCACTGCGTTGATTTCCGTTTGCTGCATGTAAGAGTGCAACTTGAGCCGGCACTTGCTCTCAAGTGAGTGTGTGGGGGTGGTGTATGTGTGTGTTGAAAACTAAACTGTTGCCATGTGACAAGTGGCAGCTTGACGACAACAACAACAGCTACAGCTACAGAAGCAGCAACAGCTAGAGCAACATCAACGTCAGCATCAATGACGCTGGGTGCGCACTTTGCAGCAAACAAAACGGGGCAGCAACGTGCACCTGCTGCAGGAGCCGAGAGCTGAAGGAAGAAAAATGACGAGGACCACGAGAAGGACTCGTCGAGTCGCCCGTTGTTGTTGTTTCAAGTTAAAAACTGCAGAAAGCGCACTCGAAAATTGCCACAAAAAGGCAGCAGCAGTGGCAGCAGTGGCAGCAGCACTCAAGTAATGAGTCGCCCATTCCACAGCAGACAGCTGAAGTCAAAGGGGTTAAGTGTTGGAATTTAATACACAATACAGGCAGTCACCTGTGAGAATGTTTATTGAACCCAACGTCAACGGCGTGGAGTCAAAGTTGAAGTCGAGGGCAGCGCCCGAGCGCCAAAGAAAGAGAATCATTTAACACGAAAATCGGATTATGAAGCTCATACGGAAAAAGTCAATATCATTGTGCCATATAGTACATACATATAAAGTATATATGGTGTGAAGGGGTCTGATTCTTAAGAAGACTTCGCTACGGTTTGGTTTGGTTTACTGAATTGTCAATGCAACAACAAATGAAAATCATTTGAAACCTTTCAAATGTCACACAAAAGAAATTGATTTGAGTTCTTGGCTCTCGTTTCATCTTTTTGCTGCTGCTGCCTCTTGGTTGCTATGAGATTGGATTTAAATTTACACCAGGACCAAGCCAGGACTTGGCAGACAAGGAGGCATTGACGTCATCATCATTGTGTCATCTTGGTCAGATGCACTGAATAAAATATGGAGAACTCGATATGTACAGAGAGCAAAAAAAGGTTATGAATATTACCCAGAGACAGCAAGACTGGCATCTTAAGGATTTTGTATCAATATGATGAAGAATGGTTTATTATTATTAACGTGGCTTAAACTATCATTGCATTTAATAAAGAAAGATTTAATTAAATACATTTTATGGGACATAATTTTGTTTCCTGTGCAGGAAATAAAGAGTCCAGCATTCCTGAGGGATAGGAGTTGGCATGTTGAGACATCCGCTCTGAAAAGTTGGGAATAATAAGCTTGCATAAGTGGCCAGGGCTGTCAACTCACACCGAGTTTAGATGGAAAATCTCACCAAGCATGTAAACCTACTAAAGAGTAATGAGATTTCCACGACAGTAAAAAAGTAACTGACCCACCTTTGAACCCCTCGCCTTCGGTTCGGGGCAACTTCCAGCACATTAACCCCCAGAAGGGGCTTAACTAATTCCCTTTCGACTCGGCAATTCAATTAGCAGTAAGACCCTGGACATACACATACACCCACAGCACCGAAAAAAGGACGTTTTAATCGAATTTATGGAGGCGGACTGAGTTAATAGTTCTGCCTTTGGGCCAACAAAAGGCTTACCTCAAGCCAGATAGCCAGCCAGCGAGCCATGCCCGGATTTATCTATTCTATTTTGTAATTTTTAATTTCACAACTAATGCGATTATTCACGGCTGACAGACCACGCCGGCAATAAAAATGGCCAGTGTGTAAGCCACGTTTAACACTCGGTTTATTTTTAGTTAACGAAACGCTTTCTCTTCGCCTTCCCGTCGCCCTTCGTCCTTCGTCCTTCGTCCAGCTCTGCAAATACGACAAAACTATTCGCACACGAGCTTGCACTAAGCCCAAACTTTAAGCTCTCCAGTTGGTGGCCACAAAAAATAAAAGGACTCAGGATATATGTATATGCGAAGAATTGGCACCCTTTTTGTGAAGAGAAAATCTAAATTTTGAGTAAAATACGCTCAGAAAATATACAACTCGCAAGTGCCACTTTAGTTTATATCAACAGTGGACTATGTAATTATTGGATCATCAAATGTGATATCTATGAATAACTTAGGAGAGCTTAATGCGACATAACCCAACAACCCCAACATATATCCAGCAGATACCGAAAGCCATGTGTAAGCCCTCTTACTGGCGGAGGAGGAGAATTACTCACCAAATGCAGCCAGGCGTGCAAATCTCACGGAAAGCCACGAAAAATTGCCAAAGTCCGACGGATACGGAGAACTCATCTGCGAGTCAAGTCCCATTTGCAGAGGAACTTAAAGCGTGCCCCGTCGCAGTTATGAGCGCTTAAAGTCCTCCATTCCGCGCTTAACATTTAATTAAAAAATTTTGTAATTACCGCCAGGGAAGTGGGTTTGCCTTGCTCTGCCCCACTCCGCTTTCTGCCAGCCAAAGATGCAGCTGCCTGGCACTTGCACTTGCAACTCCCCAGGATGTGAGTCTCAGTCTCCCTCCCTGTGTTTGTCTTGCAGGAGCGATTCACACCCGAGTGGCTAGGAGATGGCTCCTAACTGTTATTGCAATGAACTTGGCAGCTGCCTGCACTGCCCTCCATTTCCCACTAATTGATAAATGTAAACTCCTTGGAGGTCCTTTGTTCCTGAGCGAAATATGCAACCTGGTCATTGTCGTTAGCAAGCGCCAGGATTTTGGCCATTAATTTGTTGCATTGTCTTGGGAAGTCAAGGGGTCTGTAGAAAATCCTTCGGTTAAGCAATGATCCCTCCCCTGCCAGCCCCCTACGCATATTTCGCATTTTTCCAGAAATTCCATTGTGTTTCCATTGTGCACGTGCCAAAATGTATGGGAGTGTGGGCGTGGCATCAAAGTGCATGCAAAATACGTGACATGCATATTGAAGTCACTTACTATTTATTTTTATTACGCAAAGCAGCAGAAACTTTTTACACATATTTTTCCCTTAGTTTTTCTTTGTTGTGGCAACTTTTCCGGTAGCAAGGTAGCAGTAGCACAGGCAACAGCTGGATAAAGGGGCGAAGAAACTTCACCGGCTTCCCCCCTTTTCTGACGTGTTTAATAAATGGCAGTAGCTGTCAAAAAAGAGCGAGAGTTGTGTTTGTTGCTTTCCATTTTTTGTAACCTTCAAGGAAACTTGACTAAGCTAAAAAATTATTTGTGTGAGCACATTAAAATCCTTGAAATACTTTAAAATCCTTTTAAACTCTATAGTTTTTCACTATTTATTCTGTGCTTGCTGATTCCTAAATTATGCAACTAACTAAACTGGGAAAGCCCATTTGGGTATGAGTTTTTCATGGGCCTAATTACCGCCGACGAAGGCCGCCTATCCTGCCACAACATAATCAAAATTTCAGCCAAATTAAAGGCGTAAATAACGAAAATGTTCCATGGAAACGTGGAAAATTTCCATTAAACATCAAAAATTGATGGGCTGAGAAATGGCATCGCAATTATGCAGCTGGAGTTGACAGGAGTGGAAACGACAGGCCGGGTCGGCCGAGGACACAGTTTAGCACCTAGCGATGACCATAAAAATTTGTAATTTTCCCAACACATATTTCCTTTTTGGCAACCGGCCAAAGTATGCAGCGTGAAAAGAAAGAAAGAAACCCGGCAAAAATTTGTTCAGGCCGTAAATAACCAAAGTAAACAACGCGACAAGCGGTTTGGCGGGGAACCCGAAAAGCAGAAGCAGACAAAGTCCCGGCCGCAAAAGCCAAAACTCACTGCGAATGTGAATATTCTTGGAATTTTCATTTGTTGTCTGGAGTTGCATGGGGTTGCATAGTTAGGAATGCCATTCCACATTCCCCCATACCCCGCTTTCCCGCTTTCCCGGTTTCCCAGCTTCCCGCTCCCCAGTTTCCCATTCCGCAACGAACCCCTCCTGTCATCGCAATTTGTCGCTTTGTGTTGCTCCTGCCGCTGCAGTTGTCGCTTCATTTTTGCAGCAAAAGTGTTGCAAAATATGTTGACAGGAAATGTTATGCGAATTTCACTGCGTATAAAACGAAATTTACGTGGGCCTTTCCACTCTGTATTTTGCTTTTGTACTTTGACTATGTCAGGGGAAATACAAAAAACACTTGACCATGGCCATTGAAAAATCAAATCAATCACTGATCAATCTGATCTTGTTACAGTTCCGAGTTCCGAGCGAAACTCAATTAAATGCACGAGAGGTCGCTCTCGCATTCCCATCAGGGCTATATTATACCCAGCAACTAGTTGCTGTCAATTAATTTGTTAACTTGATTGCGATCACAATAAAAGTAGACCTCTGGCCGGTTTATATAAATTTCCAAACTGCTTTTCTCCAGTTACCAGTTTTAAGTGAAGCGTTGACGGCTACAGGGTAACCTATGTCCATTTTCATCTTGAAGAAGATTCTCAGAGTTGTGCGATAATGCTGAAGCTAGGGGTTGTATTGGTCTTGACTGTCGTCTTGGAGTTTTCCCAGGTAAAGCTGAGTTTCCACCTCAAAGAGAATAGAATTTTAAAGTTTTCCTCGCCCTGTGAAGGCTGTTCCCATTCTGGAGGAAACGACTTTTGTAACGGATTGTCTCACCGCTAATAACATAAGCCAAGCCGAGTTCCAGGAACTCATTGAGCAGAGAAGGTCCGAGGAGGAGGACGACGACGAGGAGGATCTGGACAACGTAGATACAAGATACAAGTGCTTCATCTATTGCTTGGGCGAAAAAGGCAACATCCTAGACTCCAATGGCTATCTTGATGTGGACTCGCTGGATAAAATTGAGCCGCTGAACGAGCAGATTCGGGATGTTCTTTATTATTGTAAGGAGCTCCATGACCAGGAGGAGGACAGATGCGAGTACTCCTTCCAGATGGTTCGCTGTCTGTCGGAAAATATCAAACAGAACGATGAAGTAACAGACCAGAACCTAAACGTGTCGACAAACAAACTAAATGAATAATCAAGCAAAAACTGGTTTATCAACTCGAACTAAATTATAAATAAGTGTGAAAACAGCATCCAACTGATAGTTTCACTTGCACAATGCTCATCAACAGACTGGCACTTTTTGCTGCACTAAGCCTGGCTTTAATAGGCTTGGCTAAGGTTGGAATAAGCAATTAGCAATTGCAATACTTTGCTTTATTTTAATGGCTTTCCTAGACTCTCGACGCATTTGAATTCCTTGATGGGAGCCTGGAAGGAGAAGAGGAGTGCCGACAGAAGAATAATATTTCCCCAGAGGAATACGAAAACTTTTCCGAGTTCGATAATGTTGAAAATGTGCTAAATGAAACTGTGGAGTTGAAGTACAAATGCCATGTGAAATGCCTGATGGAAAAACAATCAGAAAAGTGGCTAAATGATCAGGGCAAAATGGATTTGACGCAGATGAATGTCAGCAGTGAGGCATCGGAGGATATTACCAAGTGCATGGATCAGGCCAACGAAGAGCCTTGCTCCTACGCCTTTAAACTGGTTATTTGCGTTCTCAAGGCCGATATTCAAACCCTTGATTATGTGGAAAATGTGGAAACTCTAGAAGAAGACGAAGAAGAAGACCTTCTCGAACTCACCACCCAGTTGGGGCAATAAATTTTAATTAGTATAAAAGTACAGGCATTAATAAGCTCGATGCATTTTGCAAGCTGATTTGCATAATCAAATGGAATTGCACGGGGCGGGCCACGGGGCGTTTGAATCAAATCAAAACGATCCAAATGGAATCCAATTAATTGCATTGCTATGCCCAGCAATGACGCAGCAGGTAAACACATGGCAAAATAATTGATTTAACATACTAAATATCGGCCAGATACTGGTTGCCATATTTCTCCAGTACCGCCTCCGATTTGCCAAGTGTGTGTGTCGCTTTGTCGGTCCCATTTACAGGAAAAAACATTTCCCCCCCCATACAATGCGATTCCGTTACAGTTTTCCATTCGCCCGTTCCACGGGGCGTATGAGTGTTTGTTTGTGTGCGACTTTTTGTCGCTTTCCTTTGTGCCGGCAGGCGAATGCAACGAAAGTTGTCATGTTGCATTGTTGCAGCTGCTGTTGATGCCGCTGCCATTGTTATTGTGTGAGTGTGTGGGGTCGGCTGGGTAAAGAAAAGACGGGCGCGCCACGCCCACACACTTGACTGGCCCGCTCTGCCGCCTCTCGGCTTTCGATTGTCAGCTCAACTTCACGCCGCCGTGGGGCGTGGCACATTAGTAGGGAATAAAAGATGGAAAAAAATATAGCAACAGCAGAGAAAAAAACCCGGGAATACATGATTGTCAACACGCACACTCCCCACCCGCGAACACCTTGCCACCACCGGCAGCAGGGACAACACGGCGTATGAGTAATATGTCTGGCTGCCTCGCTGCCTCGCTGCCGGTGCCTGCGCCATGTCAACATGCAAAACAACAATGGGGCGGAAGTGCATTGTAAACGTAGCATGAACTGCACCAACCGCCCATTTCTGCACCCGTTCCCGCTCTCTCACACACACACACTCCCCTTGTCCTGCCATCAGTGGGCGAGTGCAATTATAATTTTGTAAATCGACGGAAGTTCGGATAAACATACGCAAAACGTTTGCCACTGTTGGCCAAAAGGGATGGCAGAGGAATAAAAAAGGTGAACACGGTTGCTGGCCCTCAGGCCAATGCACTTTTGCTTGATGGCAAAAATAAGTAAAATATGTTAGGTAACCGGGAAAAAGAATGCAACAATCACAGGTAAGGACAAGACAAGTGTTGTAAATTAAAATCAAATCAAAACGAACAACAAATAAGCGTTTAAGGCGTTAAAATACAATTATTCAATTGAAATATTATATGTTATAATAATCTTCTGATTATTAAGAAGTAATTTCCCTATGCGCAGCATCTTTACTTTTTATACATTTAAAGTAAATTGCTTACAAATACCGTAAGATAAGAAAAATAAGAAACATACTTTTCCTCCTAGGAAAATATCCAATTTCGCCAGGTTTACTTCAAGTTGGTCTTATCAAACTCCATCTTCCTTAAACTTCGGTCCGGTCCACACACACACACACACACACACTCCGGTGTAAAAAGCAATCTAATCGCACCCCTAACCCCCGCACACACATGCCAGAAATTAAATTCAACGAGCAAACTTACACTGCGCTGCATACTTCAGCAACTGCCAATAAAGTGCTTGGCGTGTGAAGCAGTCAAAACAAAAAAAAAATATTAAGGGAAAACCGAAAATGGGAAAAAAGCGTGGAAAACTTATACTTCTTATTCCCTGCCTTCAGCTTATGCCGTTGCGCTACAGTTTCTGTTGCTTCGAGTGCGCTTATCAAAAGACACACGAGGCACTGACATGCAGCCAGAAAAATGGAGAGCAGGCGGGGGGTACAGAGGAAAAGCGAGTGAGGGGAAAAGCTCACGGAATAGGGATGGAAAGGCGGCGAAGCGGAGCGCGTAAGTTTTCCAGTTTTTCCGCTGCCATTTCACTTTGGCGCAAAGCGTAGAAGAAGGAAGAAGGACTCTTTGCGAGTTCTGCATATGACTGCAGGCACGTCTTCAAGCCCCCGCATACTTCTTGTCTCCTTTTCCTTATGAACCAACTCACACACACACATACACACATTGGTGTGTAGGTGAGCGTGTGTAAGTTGATTTATGCCACTTTGTACACCCAGCATGCGTATGGGTGTCCTTACACTTGGAAGAATATCTCTTGTCTTTCCTCTTGCATATACAACTTATGAAAGCAAAATCAAGTTAGTATATTAATATATTTCACCTAGGAGAGCTACGTTAAAAAATCGATAAGAGTTATAAATTTCAATGATTTAAAGTCCATATAAATATATACTTTATATCACATAATACTATATTAAATAACAATTGCTTAAGAACTTTAATTCTAAATTCATTTTATGCAAGAATCATTACCTCTTACCATATTAGATTCCATATTTTTTCACAGTGCATTTACTGTCTGTCTGTGCACTTGTGCGTTTGTGTGTGTGTGTGTGTGTGTGTATTTGTGTGACTCTGCTGCATAAATGATTTATGGGCAACTCTCGCGACAGTTTCGTTTCGCTTTCGTTTGCAGAGAGTGCAACAAAGGGGCCAAGGGAGACGCAGATAGCCGAAGTGGAAACTGTCGCATAATAAATAATTATAATTGTATTTTTCTTTCTGTCTTGCCGGCTTCTTTGTCTTTTGTCCTTTGGCTTTCCCTCGAAGGTGCCACACGCACCACATTAATAAACTTAATAAATATTTGAGCAGGAAGGTGATGGCTGGTAATTGATACAGCCACAGCAGGTGACCAGGTGTTCCGAGGTCCGAGGGACAAATGGGTAATGGGTCAATCGAGTTTGGAGAGATCCTGCCGCAGGATGCGGCACTCCTCCCCGAACTATCTCAGTTGTGGGTCAAAGAGACAACAACAGTCCAGCTTCCGGCAACTTCAAAGTTTGAGCTTCCTGCTTAGCCACCCAAAAATCTTTGCTTCCTTGGCTCGCCTATATTTTTTGTAACTTTTATTTTTTATCTTTCGGCTTTCGGCTTATTCATGAAAGCGAAATGCTCTTCCACAGGAAACGGGAAGTGCGCCTCATGCAACATTTATGGAGGGTCCACACTTCTGCCCCTCGGAAGGGACTAAAACTAACAATGGGACACAACCGAAACAAAAAGATACAGCAGGGAAGTTGACGCGTAAAAATTGTCACAAAGTGTAAATAGAAAATGAAATTGAAATGCCTCACAGAGATTTAATTAAATTTCAGGCGAGCCAGGCGAGGAGCAAACAAAAACTGGCCAAAAACTGCCCACAAATACCCAAAACATGGAAAGCAAAGTAAAAATATATGTATGCAATATTTTTGTGTGTGTGTGTTTGCTGGGCATAAATATTTGAAAAATCTTCGCACATAAATAATTTCGTTTAAATTGCATACATAATTTGCAGCAGGCAAATCAGTAAATATTTCAATATCACCAGCTCCGAATGGGATTTGCCCTCACTTACTGCACCCATCGACCAAACAAGTTTTTGTAGACTTTTCCGGATGATTCAATGTTGGTCTACGCCAAACAACTACCTCGATTTCCTTCTTTGCCAATCGAAGTTTTGTATTTTCTAGTTTAGAAATTTATATATATTCATATATATGTATATTTTTCTTCAAGGGGAGAAACGGATTTCGTTTATTTGCTAAAGTTTATTTCTGGGAATTAAATTCTTGCAACTCTTATTCGGTCAGAGTCAGTGCAAAAGTCATAAGGAAAATGTATGCCATGTTAAAGATTTTGCATGTTTATACTTTTTGATATTAAATATCTTTTGTTCTGTATTAAAACCCACAGTTACAGTTTAGCCCGCAAAGATTCCTCAATTGTTGTGAAACATTGGCTAAACTTTAACAACTTAAGCCTAAATAATTATTTTCTTTTGTTTTTTTTTATCTTAAAATTGTAGCCTATCCATTGGCAAGCCAAATGCTAATGGTGGCCTAACTTAAATATGCCTTTTGACTGAAGGCCAATAAATTGAGCAATCTGTTTCTATATATTTGATATGCGCACGGTCATGCCATGGGCACGGAATATTTAATAAAAACCAATAAACGTTAAAAGCCTTTCCAGGGGGGCCATGGCCGTAAGCCACCTGCCATGGCTGGTCAACCAGACCCCACTGACCACGATTCCCTGCCTTCCCCCATGTTCCTTTTCCCCTCTTCTGGCCCAACTGGCTATGCGCCCGATTAAATGCATTTAAATGTGTTTTCATCATAATTATGCATATGCAAACCTGACTCGACCATTGGCCACTCTATCGCAGCCCGCCGAGCGTCCCCTTCTGACCTCGGCCATATGGCATGTCGTGGGTTTTCCGGCAGCTTAAGTGCTTTAATGGCTTTAATTATGTTGCATGCAATTATTGTCCATGTCCCGGCAAGAATGATCTTCATCATCGGCTTAATAATGATGCCGAAGCCGATGTCGTTGCCGTTCGGCAGCTTCTGGCTTCCGACAAATGCAACAAAAATTATATAATTAATAAATGAAAAGCAAAATGGTTGAAGCTCCCCTTCGCATCCGCAACTGATGTATGTACGTATGTACGAGGGGCAAAAGCAGATGCTTCGCTTTGCTTTTGAGCATAAAATTCAATCGCTAAATTATGCAAATATTCCGCAACTGCGACAATCGGCTTGGGCCACGTTACGTATACGCAATGTTTGCCGGATGAGGCCTCCCTTTTTCATGTCTATGTGTGTGTGTGTGTTTACGTGCGTAAAGAGGTCGTGGAGTTCATCGATGACGATTTTACTGCAATTCCGCTCCCATTGCCTGCTTTTTGGCGCAGATGCAAGAAAGGCACACACACACAGAGGAAAAACCGCGGGTATGAGGTAAAAGAGTAGAATGCCAAAAGAGCCCAAGTCCGGCACAATAACAACTAGACAACCAGGGGGTTTCGCTTTTTGGGGCATTTGGGATTCGACCTCACTTGCAGGCTTTCCCCTCTGCGGGTTTCGATACCCATTAATTGACATGGGGTAGTTATTTTTCACTGTTAAACTAACTCTAAATAAATAAATTTCTATTACTACAGAGCGGATTTTCATTTAAGATTAAATCTATATCGTTGTTAGTCTTGACATAAATTCTATAAATCATACTTATATACTTGAAATTTCCTTATCTTAAAAATATTCGAACATAAAGCAATCAATTTAGTTTCCGAACGGGTATATCATAGTCGATCAAATGAGAATTCTGATTCGTTTTTTTGGCCACCTCTCCGGTTTGCGTAGCCGTCACTTTTTTTGGGGTCGCGCAGCAATTTTATTTCGGCGACGTGACAAACGCAATCAGCGTCAGTCATATGTGTAAAAACGTTTTCCGCCTCACGCAGTCCCCTCCCCGCCTCCCTCTGCATGGAAATCGTGGTGGAAAAACCAGGGTTAAGATGTGCTGGAATTTTCCCACAGCCTGGCAGTGTATCTTTAACTTTTCGCACCTGGTCTAGACCGATTCGGTGCCCCCTCATTAGCTTTTCCATTCATCCAAAACCTAATTTGTAGCCTGCCATGGCCAACAAAAAATCACTTTGCTCTCGGCCTCTGTGAGCCTTCGCAGAAACTAGTTTCAAGTCAGGAAACTGGCTTTTGGGCCAAGAGTCGCACATTGAGTTAATTAAAGTTGTACATGGTAGGCGCAATCAGGAGGAGAACAAAAAACACATGTGTCCAGAAGGGCGAGTGTGCAGAGTGTGTGTACTCAGTGTGTGTGTGTGTGTGTGTGTGTGTGGGCAAGAGAAAAGGCCAAAACAAATTGCCAAAGTCAGAGCGGCAACGTAGAACTTTTTTTTATGGTGAGAGCTGAGAGCAAATGGCAATTTATAAAATCCTTTGAAGTGTCGAAAATCAGTAATTGTAGTCAAAGTGCAAATTGATTGCCAGTCTCTCGCTCTTTCTCTCCCTTTATCTACACTCTCCCTCACACGGTTCGTGCCGAAAAATCAGTGTGGCAGACATGTTTTATTGAGTGTAATTTGTAGTTGTAAATTAATGGCCGCACTTCACTTTTAATTAAAATGCATCCAGAGGAGAGCTAGAAGCAGGCAACCGTGCCACAGCAGGCTGTGCAATAGAATAGAAGTGTGGATGCTCTCTGAGCTTCAAAGTATTAAGGGAATCGGTAGCAAACATAAATGAAATCTTGATTTGAAATTGTTTTAAAATAATGTAACATTTCTTATTTGCTAACAAATAAGTTTATATTACATATGTAATGTGTTACGTACTACGATTTTTGACAAGGGAATCGCAGATTCGTGGTGTTTCCCGGTCTTCAAGATCCCTATTCCTAAGCTGCTACCTACACCAACAATTAAACATCCACAATAAGAACACGAATTGATTGGCAGAAATAAAAATCTAAATAAACCTGCAATCAAGTCTCCCTTCTTAAACGTATATTAAACGAATAAAGGCAAGTTTAAACCATAAGCTTTGTGACTTTGAATACTCCTACGGACTTCAGAGAGAGAGTTAATTTCCTGCCAGCGATTCTTTTAGACTTGGCGCGTTTGACATATCAGCGAAACGGAAACACTTATGCTCAAGGGACTTCCTGTCTGATATTCGTTGGTACCTTCAGTTTCCCAGTTTCCCTTGTTTGCTGGTGTCTGCTGAACGGAAGATTCCTTTGACGCCTGTTGCATGGACGAGCCGTTAAAGGATGCAACTGCGTCGAAGTTTTGAATAAATTTTCGCCATTTTGCCAGCGGCAACAGCGGGAACAACAAGGCAGCGCCACTCGCATCCTCTCAACGTCGCAAGGACGCGAACGAGGACATCGAGGCATCATCAATTTTGGTTTGCGAGACTCATCAATAAAACATAACAGCGGCAAATGGAGACACATGTGACAATGCGAATGCAACTGTCGCAGGGATATGGATGCCAATGCCTTCCGACTCCCTCGGCAGCTGCTGTGAGTTTCCGAGATAAAAGCTTCCTTAACTGATTTGGTCAACAAGTTTGATCGGCAAACAAAAAAAACCAAGAATTAAATAGAGTTTTCTAGTACCTTTGGGAAATTAAATTTAAGTTAAAGGTTTGAAAATGATGGCCTAAAAGAACTTGGAACCTTTTCACACCTTCCTTGCTATCAGCCAAGAATGGCTGCACCTGTGCCCTCGCCTGATGTCTCTTTTTCGATTAGGTTCACCACCAAATGCAGAGAAATACGTATATTTCTGTGTTTTGGCAAGGCTGAATGTTTTTCTGGAAAATCAAAAAAGGCAGTGTTGAAAGAAGGGATTTCAAGTAACTAAACCAAGGGATACCCAGTACTGACTATAAAGTATACCCTTTAAAACAATACGAAAAAATATAATCAGGAAAATTAGATATAAAAGCGGAAGAATGTTGAAACTATAAATTCTACGTAAGGTACTTAACCGATATGCTCCTCCCTCTCCTAATCACAGAGTGGTAAAAATATAGCCCTGGCCAAAAAGAGGAATGATCCTGTCAACACCCTGAGGTCAACCCAACCAGCTTGGCTCTGTTTTCAGCTGCCTTGGCTTTTGGCCAGCTAAACTCAACTCTCAACTCTCGACTCTAGGCAGTTGAATTGAAACTTTATTTCCGCTCAAGTTTCCTGGCTCTTAGGACATGAGAATGCTGGTGATGGGTATGTGAATCAGCTTGACCGCGAATCCAATCGAGCCCATGATGAGGAATCCCACACCGATGGCCAGACTGGTGCGTTGGAACTCCTGGCGACTGGGCTTGGTGCAGCGCTTCAAGAAACGCAGAGAGTTCTTGGCCAGAGCAGCGGACGGCAGGACGCGGAGCACCTGATTTTTGATGCGACGTCCCACGCCACGAAAGCCCTTGTACTTCAAATTGGGCAGCATTTGGCAGATGTTCCTGGCGATCACCACAAGGATATTGAACTTGGAGTTAAATAGTTTTGTGCACTTACTAACCCTTCATCAGCCTTGCGCTGATACCGGCGCCGACGCGCTATGAGTTGCTCCATCTTTTACTCTCAAATTGATTTTCGAGGCTAGACTTATTCCGTATACGAGTCCGGCGACTGGACTACCCAGGCCTGTTGGGATCGACAAGGAATTCGGACTCGGTCCTAATAATTGCCAGCTGTTGTACCGAACATGGCCGTCAGCATTTGCCACATGCAAAGTGTAGCAACTTGAAATGGAAAATACTGGCCGGCTTACACACATAATCAAACTTTACGCCAACTGTTTGCCAGAAGCAGCAGCAGCAGCACACACAAGAACACCAGCACACACCAGCTCGAACATTCTCTACTAGTTTTCCACTGTGAACGGCTGAACGGAAGCAGAATTTGTGGAGCAGAGTGGCAGAATGCAGGCAGGGATCCTGCCTGGAGGAGTGCTGGGACGGGACTTAAATGCTGCAATTTGTTTCACTGCCGAATCGTTGCTGTCTTCACTTGAAGCTTAACTAAATGCACAGGGAGTCAGTCGGTCCGAAAATGTACCCAGCTTCAGCAGAGTCTAAGCCAAAAATTGCCCCCTCTCGCTCGCTCTCCCCAAGTGCCATCTCTCTCACTCTCACTCTCACTCCCACTCCCTCTCTGGCCCTCTGCATCTATCTCTATCCATCTCGGAGCGCGGAGAGGTGGCTGTTGTGCTACGATTTGACAGCCTTGGCTTCGGAGATCCCCAGGACAATTCACTGCAAAATTGGTAGACAAAACTGTGCCACAACGGGCTCCTCTTGTACTTTGCCACGTATATGATAACACTGGGAGAAAATTAGAGCTAATATTTAGAATTCAAATTTGAATTGATCAATTCAAAGTAATAAGAAACCGAATTTCTATACCCTTGCAGCTTGAAATTGGATATAGAAATTGGTACCTGAAATCGTTCATAACTAAGCCAAAAACGCATAAATTTTAATTCGGAAAGCTGTCCTATCTTAGTTTTTATTAAGTAAAAAAATCTGCATACTTAATTTAAAGTTTTCAAACGATGTAACCTCTTATCATTTTTTCAAAAAACGAGAAAAATTTTGAAATTTTTTTTTCGACCGGACATGGCTTTATCGACTCAGCCATTAATGATGATCAAGAATATATACGATTTATGGGGTCGGAAATGACTCCTTCACTGCGTAACAAGTTTCTGACTAAAATTATAATACCCTGATAGTGCATAAAATCGTCTTCGATTAAAGATAGATCTAGCATACATGGCGTATACTTAACTTGAGAACCCTTAAATTAAGCATACGCCATGTGTGTATTACGGAAGAATAGTTTTAAAATGTGTAAAGTTACAGTTAAAAAACAAGTTTAGCAATTCAAATTTAGAATTAAATCGGAAATCGATCATAACTAAGCTTAAAATATTCGATACTTATAAATATTTTTATATTAAAATTATTCGACAAATCACAGTTTAAAAAACTCATAGCTAAGCCAAAAAGGCAGGAATTTTAATACTATAATAATTTTTTAAGCTATCCTATGTTAGTTTTTATTAGAGTAATAAATCTGCATACTTAATTTAAAAAAAAAAAAAAAAAAAAAAAAAAAAAAAATTTTTTAAAAATCGAACAAATTTTAAAAATTTAGTTTTTGTCCCGACATGACTAGATCGACTCAGTTGCTAATGCTGATCAAGAAGAAATATGATTTATAGGGTCGGAAAGGAATTCGTCGCTATTTTCAAGCTTCTGATTAAATTTATAATACCCTGCAAGGGAATAAAAATTGGCATTTTAGCCTCCCTTTTTTTTAAAGAGAAAAGCACAATGAACTGCTCTTAGTTAATATTACAGTTTAAATTTTATAAATATTTATTATGGGATATTTATTATTATACCAATACTTAATAAAATTAATTGAATCAAAAACCTCTACTTTATTTCGCAGTGTAATTGTACGGATATGAGCGTGTGGCAGTGTCAGAGTTTGTGTGCCTGTGTTTGTGGGTATTTATGATGGTGTGCGTGCCTGCCGTTTCAGGCATTGCCATTGAGATTGAAAAATGTTAAAAAATTGCTTTTAAATGCCGCAAAATACAATTTATTATTCAACAGAGGCAAACGCCAAACACTGAGAGCACAATGTGCGCCAAGGGAGTGGGCGGCGCTTGGATGGTGGCTTGTTCCGGCCTTTCTGGAGGAGTGACACCGGGCACCGGGTGAGGGAGGGTTCAGAGGGAGGGGAGAATGGCCACTGTGCGTAGGAAAGCTCAACAGTGCCGACTGCTTGGTTGTAAATTTAAATAAAGCCCCTCACACACACAGACACAAGCACCGAGGCGATTGTTACTGCAGTTGTTCTGTTTATTACGCATACGCACTGTGCGCCGGCCATTGAAGTTGGTCATGAAGCGCAACGAGGCTTGCAAAACTCACTGGGCTTCTTGCCTGCCCGCTTTCCCGTTTTTAGGGTCAGCCATGGTAAGCAGCCCTTAAAGGGCTCTTATACAAATTATTTCATTCACTCCAAGTCCTTGAAATAAGCGCTTAAGATGGTAGCGCGGAACTAACTTGATTTATATATTTTATTACTCTATTATATCCTAGATCTTTTTCAAATGCTTTAGATTTTCTGCATTCGTAAACTTAAAGTGTCAGAATACATCGTTGCATTTTTATACTTTGTTAGCCATTAAACAATATTAACGAATGTATTCTTTAAGTGAGAAAATATATAGCCACATTCCTTCACTCCCCAAATCAAACTATAAATTCCCACGCAAATTCATCTCAGTTTATTCGCAATCCAAGAGCAGTTAGCACACTTTTGTGTCCGACTAATTGTGGATCAGAGCGGCATCTTGGTTGCTAACTTTCTTTTTTTTTTTGTGTTTGCGGTGGCACTTGAACAATTTTCCATGTGCTCCAAAAACTTTGGCAATAAAATTTGTTTCAAATTGCTTTCGAAAGCCGAAAGCCCCCGAAAGGGAGGCTGGATGGGCAGCACATCCGGCGTACTCGCTCCGCAGTGGCAAAGTTGTCAGCGGGAAAATGACCAAAGTGCACCCAGAGGGCCAAAATAAATATCAAATATATTGAGAGGGCGAGGCAGTCGCGCAAAAGTTAATTACATTGTGTTAACCGGGGGCGGGGCCAAGGCCTAATTTTGTAATTCTCTTTCTGAATCATTTAACCATGAAATTGCCTGCCCGGCCACGCCCACAGACCGCTGCCTGTCGCCTGCCGCTCCCGCCCTTCGTCCTTTCATCGAAAGGACTAACCAAATGATAACCCACAACGCATTTGCTCCTCATGGATGTCAGTCCAAATGTGCAAAATTAGCCTTTCAACTGCCAGTGCCACGCCCCCTTATCATCGCCAACCATCTGAACCTCCTCTACCTCGAATTGGCCCGGGGCTGTAGCAGCAGCCACCATGTTGACAGCTGGCACGCAATTTATAATGAAAAGTTTCCATTCGCACATTCCGGTTGCGATGGGGCTCACCTATTCCGATATTTTCATTATTTGTATTTATTTTGCAATTTCTAAATAATTATGTATAAAGATATTAATGCAATTAGAGTGAGTCTCGTTTTCCCCATGCAAATCGTGCGTTGAGAAATGGGGAAAGGGTCTGCGGGCTGCCCGATTAATTTACAGTGTCTTTGATGTTTAAGCCGCTTTCGCTTTTGGCCTTTGGCAAAAATCTGTGGCCAATTGGCATGAGTAAAGAAATTAATTAAATTTCATCAAGTCTTAATCAAACTGTGGAAATATAGTAGGGGTAAAGGGTAATTCACTAGAATTTTTAATTACATTAGAAAAGTTATTATTAATTATTAAATATCAAGAGAACTTTGCTAGCAGACTATAGGAAGCCAAAGTCAAAGTCGTAAAGAATTGTTAATATTATTATAAATATATGTTAAAACAAAACAAAAACTATATATCTCAAATTATATCTCTGTATAAAGCCGCTGCCCGAGTTCGATGGCTTTTTCAGACTCTGGCCAAATCGAAAACCTATCAGAGAAGGAATACAGAACCGACATAAAGATATAAAACCTGCGCAATGATTGCCAAAAACGGAACGGCCACAGCCACAGCCATTACCAATTTTTGTGCTTAACGCTTCAGCGAGCAAATCACTGGGACAGACAGATAGACATGGCCTGGCACAGGGACAAGCACAGCGATACATTTCCAGATACAGATACAGATACAGATACAGATACAGATACAGATCCAGAATCAGATACAGCTACAGTTTCAGATGCAGAGACACCGAGGAGCAGTCATAGTTTTAGTTCCGTTCGTCGTCCCTGCCTCCACTTATTCCATCAGCATGTCATCATGGCAAATCAGAGGACATGCAACATTGCATAAAGATTTGTCACAGCTAAGGCCCCCTCCCCCCCGGTTTTCCACCCGGAGAAAAATAGCAACAGCCGATGGGAAACTTTCGCAGGCCAGGAAGTTCGGTGGGGCTGGAGGAGGGAATGGCTCAAATCGCATTTTCGCATGCTCAAATACGACAAACTGCAGCAAGTTGCGAGATGGAAGCTACAGGATGCAGGCGGAGGCGGATAAGGATGAGGATGAGGATGAGGATGAGGATTCGGAGGCGGAGACAGAGGCGGATGTGGATGCGGATGCGGATGCGGATGCCAATGCCGAATCCTTAGACCCGAGCAACTTGCTGCAAATTCAATTTCGTCTGGCTCGATTGCATTGCGGCACATTGCTTGAAATTCAACTCCAACTCCGGCACAAGCTCCGATTCTCAACTCCATTCCCATCGATTCGCATTGCATTTCAATATATAAATATTTATACACAAGCGAATTTGTGCACAGCTGAGGGCTGTCAAGCCACACTGAAAAATAATAAGATATTTTTTGATTCTTAAATACATTGTTATAAATATAAATCCATTATGTACAAACAATGATCTAAACAAATCTCTTCACAAGCTTAGTTTCCTCAAATGTTCTTACTGCTTACAATCTTCACGGAATCTTTAGTTTATAGAATTATCGTGAAATAATATAACGTTCAAAGTTAAGCTTAAGAAATCATTGATTTAATAAATCTTCTTAGCAACTCAAGTCTGTTTAATACATTTAATACGATCAGTGAAATTGGTAAATAT